AAAAAAAAAAAAAAAAAAAAAAAAGAACCAACGAACATAAATGCTTAATGTAAGAATGCTTATTTCTATACAGTCCTCTCAATATTGAGTATTCTAATTTTTGCTAATCTGAGAGATGGGAATGTTATCACATTCTGATTTACATCTCTTTAAGTTAAATGTCATTTCATGAGTCTGACCATTTATATTTCTTCTTTGAGTTGTCTTTTAATATTGCATGTTTACTTTTTTTTTTTTTTGAAGAGACAGAGTTTCACTTTATCCCCCTTAGTAGAGTGCTGTGACGTCACAGCTCACAGCAACCTCCAACTCCTGGGCTTAGGCGATTCTCTTGCCTCAGCCTCCCAAGTAGCTGGGACTACAAGCGCCTGCCACAACGCCTGGCTATTTTTTGTTGCAGTTCGGCTGGGGCTGGGTTCGAATATGCCATTCTGGGTATATGGGGCCAGCGCCCTACCCACTGAACCACAGGCACCCCCCTGCATGCTTACTTTTTTCTTACTGATATGTAACAGTTCTATTTTATGGGTCTGAACCTTTGACAAAACAAATTATGTGTCAGAATTGCTCTAGTCCAAACCTCAAAAGTCCTCTGTGGGAAAATGGCAGAATTTTAATCTTACTAGTGGGTGTTGTATTGAGTTTGTTATGACGGAACATAATTTAACATAGCGTAACATGTTGTATCATGCATGTACAATGGCACTCTCCTATATGTAATCTTTGGTAGAGAGTAAAAAACACTCGCTGAACTGTTTGTCCGTCTCAAGGTAAGATTCGGAGTGTGGCCCACAAATCACTGGCCAAGATTGCTGTGCTGGGTTAGTGTATCTGCTGTTTTACTTATTTATTTATTTGTGTGTGTATGTGTTTCTTTTTTTAGACAGGGTCTCTGTTGCCTAGGCTAAAGTATAGTGGCATCATCATAGCTCAGTGCAACCTCACACTCCCGGGTTTAATGGAGCCTAATACCTCAGCCTTGCAAGAAGCTGGGACTATAGGCGCCCATGATCTAGTTTTTTTTTTAATTTTTTTTGTTTGTTTGTTTGCTTTTGGTAGAGATGAGGTCTCTCTATTGCCTAATCTGTTCTCAAACTTCTGGCCTCAAGCAATTCTCTTGCCTCAGTGTCCTAAAGTGCAAGGATTATTGGCATGAACCATTGCCCCCAGCCCTATGTTTCAAAACCAGGCTCTGAAATTTAAGTTCCTCCAAACTGGGACCCTCTTGTCATGTCATGTCAGTGAGGAACATATTTAACTGATGATTTTAATAGAAATTAAGAAAATATCATGACTATAATAAGCAAATTATCATGACTATACTTTTTTTTTTTTTTTTTTTTTTTGGAGACAGAGCCTCAAGCTGTCCCCCTGGGTAGAGTGCCATGGCATTACAGCTCACAGCAACCTCCAACTCCTGGGCTCAAGCGAGTCTCCTGCCTCCGCCTCCCAAGTAGCTGGGACCACAGGCGCCCGCCACAGCGCCCAGCTATTTTTTTTTGGTTGCAGCCGTCATTGTTGTTTGGCGGGTCCGGGCTGGGGATTCGAACCCGCCACCTTAGGTGTACGTGGCTGGCGCCTTAGCTGGTTGAGCTATAGGCGGGGAGCCTATACTTTTTTTTAAGTTACCTGATTGATTCAACTTTTTTGTTTGTTTGTTTTAAGACAGAGTCTCACTGTGTTGCTCTTGGTAGAGTGCCGTAGCGTCACAGCTCACAGAAACCTCAAACTCTTGGGCTTTAGCGATTCTCTTGCCTCATCCTCCCAAGTAGCTGGGACTACAGGCACCCGTCACAATGCTCAGCTATTTTTGTTGTTGTTGTTGTAATTGTCATTGTTTGAGCTGGCCCGGGCTGGGTTCAGACCCACCAGCCCTGGTGTATGTAACCAGCGCCCTAGCCACTGAGCTACAGGTCCCGAACCGATTCAACTTTTTAATTAGAAGAACTAAGGGTCATTGCATTTTGGAAGATTGTCATTGGCAAGTGTAATAACGGTTGTACTTGTATTATATACATGTGTCCAATATGTTGATTCCAAACAACAGAAATTGGCTCTGGCTAACTTGGGCAAGAAAAGAGCCTATTAGGAGGACATTGGAGGCCTGTGGAGTTAGGAGACTTCCAGCTGGAGGCAGCCTAGAGGTCAAGATGTGGGGAATCCCATAGCAGATAGGCCATCAGCTGGGACAGGAACTGTCTAGCCAGGATGCTGCTACCCCAAAATAAGTGACCTCTAGCCGTTCACCTACTTGTTAACGACCACACATTCCAGGAGGGTCTGGTTGGCTAAACTTACATCATATGCCCACTGTTTAGCTATGCTGGGAAGGAGAGGGAGGTTCCAATGACCCCTAGTGTCCTCATGAGTGGCCTTCACCAAGGATTATACTCCTCCCAAGACTAGGAGGAAAAAGGATGAAATTGCCTAAAAGGAGGGAAGAATAGAGATGGATTCAAGGTACATCCCTGCCAAAAAAAAAATTTCTTAGTAATGGTGTCTTTCGTTTTTATCATGAGTGATTCTATGTACATTAGAATCTCATTTGCTCCTCATGAAACTATGTTTACATAGGGAGCGGAGCCTCAGTGCATCTGGGGTGCTTTACCTTTTCCCTGTGAGCTCAGAGGAATCTGGCTGACTCACCCGAAGATAGTGAGTGACAGTCCCTAGATCCATCATAGGGCTTCTAATGTATGACCTCGTGGATTTTCCACTCTCCAACCCTACATTTGGTCTGGTCTGTCTTAGTTTGGGCTGATATTTCTTACAGGTTACATAAGGACAGGCTCAATCTGTCTGGCTCAAACTCAGGACCGGCTGATCTCCCTGAAGCGCATCAACTCAAGGCTGAAGTACGTAACTGGGTAGAAGCCTATCCCGACTTTACCACACTGACCTCTGCCAAAGGACCAGTGAATGTCATTTTCCCCTTGTGTTCTGTGACAGTGTCATAGGCATCCCTTCTGAGATCATCTCCCCCAAGAAAGTGGCTGAACTTCACCCTCTCCTCAACGTGCACGACTTGGTGGGGGCCATGCATGTTCCTGAGGACGCAGTGGTGTCCTCTGCAGATGTGGCTCTTGCCCTGGCAAGTGCTGCCTCCCAAAACGGTGAGCAGCTTTTTACATTTTCTTGAGATGGGTTGAGATCATAAATAGGCAATGGCACTGACTCAAGTTTGGAAAAATTATTCTCCTTGGGGTATTCAGCTTCCATTTTTGAACACTAGATCTTACAATTTTCTTTTCTATAACATCTGTTAATAATTATTTTCCCTTAGGACCCCATTTTTAAAGTTCTAAGGAATCACTTTTAGTGCTGATTAATGTACTTCAGACTTAGAGAATTCCTCCCCAAATAGGACTTGAGAAGCTCCAAGGTTAGAACCTTAGGGTTTAATCCATAATTTAAATCAGGATCCAGTGTTGGAGTAAAGGAGAGAAAGACTAATTAGTGTCCAGGATATTATATTCTTTGGATAAACTGATTCGTGAGGTGGGTAGATTAGGATTTAAGAGGCCCTATTTGATTTCTCTCCTTCCTGCCCGATATTTTATGATTCCTGAAATTTAATTATTACATGCTAACATCTGTTTTTAAACTGACCTGCTGTTTTCAGGCTTGGGTAAGACTCATTTACATAGTTACAGGATATGATTCCTGGAGTTTTGTTGTTCTTTTTAAATTAGAGCATTGATCTAACTTTGTCAGTGTTTCCTTGGATATAGATTCTGCTGTAGATGTCTTACTTGTAGAACATCAAATGATGCATCAGCTCTTTCTTTATCTTGAAACAGGTGTTCAGATCTATGACCGGACAACTGTTCTTCATGTAATGGTCAAAAAAGGTCAAGTTACTGGCGTAGAAACAGATAAAGGACAAATTGAATGCCAGTATTTCGTCAACTGTGCTGGTCAGGTAGGTTAGAACCAGCACTGTGGTGCTGATTTTCTTATTTAATTTTTGTCTCCAGCACTTTTTGGTGTAGAGACATAAGATTAATATTGTGACTCACTAAATAGACATTAGGAACTATCCCTTTCCTTGTTTGGACCAGGATTCTTGAATGGTATTCTAAATCAGAAATCTACACTTATTCCTCAAATAGAAGCATTTGTGACTTTTTCTGTCCTCCACACTGGGTTAATTGGTGTTATTCTGGTCAGGAAGGCCACCAAATGGTCAGGCATAGACATGAATCCTTGGCATTGAGTCTTGGTGTTGCATTTCATTCTATAACCTAGCAAATAAACTATTAGGCCATTTCATTGTGTCAAGTACATGGATTCAGTGTCTAGAACCCTCAGCCTCTTCTATTTGCAAGGTAGATTTCATCCTTGCCTTCTACTCCACAATCTTACAGTGACCTAGGAAACAAGTTCATTTAATGATTGGTATTTAGGGTTTATAGTTGAGGCCAGGCTCCTTTATATAGTCTTATTAAAAGAAACTACTTTGGTTCCCTTGAGCTCTTTTGACTAGTTGATAAATTTATTTCTCTTTGATCCAAAAGTAATTTTTATGGTTTAAAAAGTATAATGTTGCTCCCCATCCAAATACTTGAACTGAAGCAGGCTGAAACTTGACTTCCCACACCTGACATTGCAGCAAGAGCACATGTAAGCCACTTGAAATTAAACTGTTTTCAAGAGGCTGAACTTGCTCATTTGTATTTCTGTTCCTCTTCCCACCCACAAATAAATCTGTCCATTTGTAGTGGGCATACGAGCTGGGTCTGTCCAACGAGGAGCCGGTTAGTATCCCGTTACATGCCTGCGAACACTTCTACCTTCTGACTCGCCCCTTGGAGACCCCTCTGCCAAGCAACACACCAAGTGAGGACTTGTACTTTTTTTTTTTTTTTTTTCAATCTTGTTTCCTTGCCAGTATTCTGTCCTCTGAAAAGGAAGACTTTCTGCTAAGGACAGACTGTGCCTGAAAGAGCCTTTTCATTTCTGGAGCATGTTACAGGGTGGTGGACGCAATTCTAACTTTTCTTAAAATAATTCTTCATGAAAGGGTGGCCAGAATGGTCATTCCACTAAGCAATTTTGTTTTTCTTTTTGTTTTTTGCAAGCTAATTTTAGTCCTAAACAGAGGTCATTGAGAATATTGGAAATAACCTTGAGCTTGGAACTTCAATGCTATAAAATTGTAGAAATGTCATGCATAGAGTATAAATTTAGGTGGTTTAGCGGCTCATGTGCCATAGGAGAGGGTTTTGATACCATTTTCATGGTCTTAATACCTAGAATGGGCTCTGCAATCCCCCTTTTTGCTAGACTTTCACTCGGCACAGTGGTAGTTACGTAGTTTGGTTATGAGGACTAATCAAAGCTTCTGGGTAACTGATAAGGTTAGGGATAATCAGAGACATGTCTCCACTGTAAGTCTGAGTGGGAAGATCCTCCACTACGACCTGGAAAGGTGTTCTAAAGCTACAAATGCTTGTGTTCATTAGATGCTTTTTTGTTAATAATGCCATTAACGAGTTTTTTGTTTTATTTCTTTTTCTGTCCACTTAGAAAGCTGGCTTGCTCTAAACCCTCATTTTTTTCTTCTACTTCCCACTTCTTTGTCATTTCTCTTTCTTAGCTATTATGGATTCTGATGGAAGAATTTACATTCGGAACTGGCAAGGTGGCATCTTGTCTGGGGGCTTTGAGAAGAACCCTAAACCACTTTTCACTGAGGGCAAGAATCAGCTAGAGATTCAGAATTTACAGGAAGACTGGGATCACTTTGGTATGTAAACTACATTATAGCGATAGTGACTTATATTTATCTAAGATGTTACCTTGTTCAAAGCATTGTCAAGAATAGTTCCTTGTTGGGGTGGCGCCTGTGGTTCAGTGGGTAGGGCGCCAGCCCTATAGACCAAGGGTGGCAGGTTCGAAGCCGGCCCAGCCAAATTGCAACAAAAAATAGCTGGGGAGCAGCTTGGGTGGCAAAAGGAGCGGCAGTGGCCAGGCAGCACAGGTACGTGAAGGCTCTCAGTGTGCCGTGGCCAGCAGGCACCCACACACCCCCTGCCCGCCTGCCGCCAAGATGCCAAAGAGGAAGGTCAGCTCTGCCAAAGGTGCAGGGAAGGAAGTGCCCAAGAGGAGGTTAGCGCAGTTGTCAGCTAAACCTACTCCTGTGAAAGTGGAAACAAAGCCAAAAAAGGCAGCAGCAAGGGGTAAATTGTCAGACAAAAAAGTGCAACCGAAAGGCAAAGAGGAGCAAAGGGAAAGCAGGCCGAAGTGGCCAACCAAGAAACTAAAGACGATTTACCAGCAGAAAACGGAGAAACTAAAGCCAAGGAGAATCCAGCCGCTGACGAAGCAGGAGAGAAAGAAGCCAAGTCTGATTAATGTCATATACCATGTCCATCAGTGGTCCCTGTCTCCCTTCTTGTACAATCCAGAGGAATATTTTTATCAACTATTTTGTAAATGCAAGTTTTTTAGTAGCTCTAGAAACGTTTTTAAGAAGGAGGGAATCCCACCTCATCCCATTTTTTAAGTGTAAATGCTTTTTTTTAAGAGGTGAAATCATTTGCTGGTTGTTTATTTTTTGGTACAACCCGAAAATAGTGTGGGATGTTGAATTAATGGGAGGCTTTGACTGTCTTGGGTGTGAGCTTAACATTCCATAGATGGAGGTTAGTTTTTATATCCTGTAATACAAAGCATACTAAATGGCAATATGGAGTCCAGTCCTGCATTTAATGTTTGAACGTTTTAAATTACTTCTATTCCCATGTTGTTTTATAGTAGAATTATTTCCTAAAGAAAACCACTGCCATGATCATGGCTCACTGTGTACACTCTGTAACATCTTTGGTTGTGGTGCTCCTATTTTCCTGATAACTTTGTTACTGTGCTATGAAGGACTAAAAATCTATGCATGTAGCATATGTGGTAATAAAGTGAATTGGTGGGACTTACCTAACAGCTTATCAACATTTGAAGATACTGGTAGTGAGTATCCTCTTAAGAAAAATTTGCCTCCATATTTTAATCTGGAAAGTCACTGGAATAACTGTTTAAAAAAGAATTACAGTAAATGGCTTTTTAGATTTTGGGTACATATGTTAAGAATTGTGTACAAATTGAAGTGTCTGTACTGATGCTCAACACAACCAATAAAATCTCAACTATAAAAGCCAAGCGTTGTGGCGGGCGCCTATAGTCCCAGCTACTCAGGAGGCTGACAAAAGAGAATCGCCTAAACCCAGGAGTTGGAGGTTGCTGTGAGCTATAACACCATGGCACTCTACCAAGGGCAATAAAGTGAGATTCTGTCTCCAAAAAAAAGAAACAAAGATAGTTCCTTGTTTAATGCTTATAACAACCAAACAAGGTAGAATAGTGGTTACAGAGTTTACCTGGTCTAAGGATACAGTTAGAAGTTGCCATTTGGGGGAACTGAAATCTTGGTTAACAGACTTTTGGCTAGTTATTTATTTGCCTAAAATCATTACTCAAATTTTAGATTAGTAGGAGGCTTTTTTTTTTTTTTTTTTTTTTTTTGTAGAGACAGAGTGCCGTAGCATCACAGCTCACAGCAACCTCCAGCTCTTGGGCTTAGGCAACTCTCTTGCCTCAGCCTCCCTAGTAGCTGGGACCAAAGGTGTCTGTCACAACGCCCGGCTACTTTTGTTGCAGTTTGGCCAGGGCTGGGTTTGAACCCACTACCCTCGGTATATAGGGCCGGCGCCCTACTCAGCCACAGGCGCTGCCTATAGGAGGCCTTCTTTTGGTAGGACTTTATGCAAAATTGAAATGCTCTTTTGAAAACAAAATTGTTGACTGAGATGGGTGAATTACCTGAGCTCAGGAGTTCAAGACCAGCCTAAGCATAAAGAGACCCTGTCTCTAAAAATTAGCTGGGCATTGTGATGGGCGCTTGTAGTCCCAGCTACTTGGGAGGCTCAGGTAAGGGGATCATTTGAGCCCAAGAATTTGAGGTTGCTGTGAGCTATGATTTCATCGCACTCTACTGAGGGCAACAAAGTGAGACTATCTCAAAAAAAAAAATTGTTCACTTTGGGAGATTGAAGTGAGAGGATCACTTGAGGGCAAGAGTTTGGCATCAACTTGAGCTCAGGTGTGAGACTCTGTCTCTATAAAAAACAGAAACATAGGCTCAGCGCCTGTGGCTCAAGCCGCTAAGGCTCCAGCCACATACACCTAAGGTGGCGGGTTCGAATCCAGCCCAGGCCTGCCAAACAACAATGATGGCAGCAACCAAAAAATAGCCAGGCGTTGTGACAGGCGCTTGTGGTCCCAGCTACTTGGGAGGCAGAGGCAAGAGACTCGCTTGAGCCCAGGAGTTGGAGGTTACTGTGAGCTGTGATGCCAGGGCACTCTACCCAGGGGGACAACTTGAGGCTCTGTCTCAAAAAAAAAAAACAGAAACATAAGCCAGATGTAGTGGCATGTGATTATAGTTCCAGCTACTAGGGAGGCTGAGGCAGAAGGATCACTTGAGCCCAGGAGTTTGAGGTTGCAGTGAGCTATGATGACACCATTGTACTCCAGGCTAGGTGACAGAGTGAGATCCTGTCTCAGAGACAGAGTCTCAAGCTGTCACTCTGATTAGAGTGCCATGGCATCGTAGCTCACATCAACCTCCAATGTTTGAGCTCACATGATCCTCTTCCCTCCGTTTTTCTATTTTTAGTAGAGATGAGGTCTTGATTTTGCTCAAGCTGGTCTTGAACTCATGAGCTTAAGCATTCCACCCACCTCAGATTCCTAAAGTGCTAGGATTACAGGCGTGACCCACCTCATTTGGCCAATAACCTTATTTCTTAGAAATACTTTAACTTATTGAATAATTAACATATTGACTTCAATGGCTTAAATTCAAATGATATAGAAGCCTATAATCTGAGCACTCTGGGAGGCCAAGGCAGATAGATTGCCTGAGCTCAGGAGTTTGAGACCATCCTGACCAAGAAGTGAGACCCTGTCTCTACTAAAGATAGAAAAATTAGCCAGGTGTTATGGTGGGCACCTGTACTCCTAGCTACTTGGGAGGCTGAGGCAAGAGAATCTCTTGAGCCCAAGAGTTTGAGGTTGCTGTGAGCTATGATGCCATAGCATTCTACCAAGGGTGACAAAGTAAGACTCTGTCTCAAATTAAAAAAAAAAAAAATGCAGAAAGATCTCTAATGAAGAATTTACTTTTCACCCTTAATGGACTTT